GGTCCGTATGGATTATTTGTACTAAAACTCTTTTCAACCTGCTCGCTAGAATTTTTGTAAATAGTTTGTAATCTACATTTAAGAGAGAGATTGGTCTATAATTCTTAATTACTGATTCTTTCGACTCAGGCTTATGTATTAATGTTATACTTGCTTCTTTCCATGAGGCTGGAATTTTTTCCGTTTTAGCGCTGTTTTGCAGAGTGCTCTTAAAAGGATCTGCTAATTGATCCTCAAATTTTTGATAGAATTCCAACAGAATTCCATCTGGCCCTGGTGTTTTTCCTTTCTTCCCAGACTTAATAGCTTCAGTTATTTCACACATAGTGAAGGGTTCATTTAGTTGTGCTATCTGCTGAGTATTAAATTTCTTCTTCTCCCACTTATTTAAGTACTCCGAAATTTCTTGTTCTGTTACCTCAGACTTTTTATATAAGTTTTTATAAAAAAATTCCACTATTGATTTTATCTCCTGCTGATCAACTTTTTCCTCTCCTTTTTCGTTTTTTAGGGTTCTAATTATTTTCTTTTCTTGGTCTTTCTTAAGTCTATATGCCAGCCATCTGGAAGGTTTATTGCCATATTCAAAGTAGTAAAATTTGGCTTTTTCTATTTTCTTAGCTACCTCTTGAGCTATTATCAATTAGATTTAATTGATGTTGTAATTTACCTATTTTAATTCTCTTATTACAATCCTCTTTCATTTTCCTTTCTTCTACAGCTATTTCTTCTTTTATCTTTACTACTTTTTTCCCCTCCTTTTTCCTTTTCCATGCTCCTTGGTTTATCCACCACCCTCTAATATAAGCCTTGAAGGCATCCCATATTATCTCACTAGCTGTGTCTTGTTGTTTGTTTATCCGAAAAAAATCTGTTATTATTTCCCTCGTTTTATTAATTATTTCTTTGTCTTTCATCAGTTCAATATTTATTGACCATCTAAACTCTTTAAAAGAAATTATCTTTCAGTGTCTGGCTCTCAACTTTCAGATTCATCCCGCTTGTCCGACTAGCAAGGATCTATTTTTCCCTCAACAACTATGTGAAAATTCTATAATGTGATTGTTTAAGCATGGTGTAGTGGTTAAAGTGTTGGACTAGGATTGGAGAGACCCGGGTTCAAATCCCCACTTGTGCCATGGAAGCTGGCTTGGGTGAGCTTGGGCTAGTCACACACTCTCGCCCCAACCTACCTCAGAGGGTTGTTGTGAGGATAAAATGGACCACAGGAGATGATGTAAGATCTTTGGATCCCCAAGGGGGAGAAAGGTGAGATATAAATAGAGTGAATAAATACATGAATTATATTTGGATGATTTTAAATTGTTTATACATATTGCTGCTTCTTACAGAATATGATAGAGGTTTATGATAAACCTTTAATTGCCTATATTTAACTGCATTCGCTTGCTGGCCTAAATAATATTTTGTAAACACTTCTTGGCAATATTTTATGTTTTGCAATATTTTTATATTTATACATGTACAATTAAAAAAAACCACCCACCATGTTCCATTTTGACCACTTAAGTGTTGTCATTTTACAAATATTTGCTTAAATCATTTGGCAGCAGAAATTCCTGAGAGGGTGCAAACATTCAAATACATGATAGCCATCCTAGAGAAAAATTGGGCTCAATGATAGCATAAGACAAAAAAAAATCTATATGAAGAAAATGCAATTAAAAAGATATTGTCCCGAACAATGATTGTTTTGGCTCAAAATGCACAGGGATCAGAATTTTTTAAAAAATAATACTTGAAACATACTTTTTTAAAAATCTAATTTTTGTTCATGAGGCCTTCATTCTAAATGGTAGCAGAGAAATAGGAAGAACAACAGAAGTTCCCTATTGGATAACAGGAAGTACCTCTTTAATAACATAACTTCCTCTTTTTTACACACTGAAAAGTTCATTGCACTGAAAAGTTCATTGCACTGAAAAGTTCATTGCACTATGCCCACAGAGTGCAAACCAGTCATTTTTAATGGATTGATTTCAGTGGCACAGAAAGGATGTTCTTACTTATCTGAATTTATAAGGTTGCCAGATCTGGGTTAGGAAATTTCTGGAAATTTTAGGGTAGAGTCTAGAGCAAGATTTGGAGAGGGAGAAGAGTGGGGTATAATGCCAGAGTCCACCTCTAGGGTCACCAGGTTACAAGGAGAAAGATGGAGACCTAGGCCTCATTGCCAGCCTTGCACAGGAAGTGAGGTCATTATGCTAGCAATGTCTGGGCAACGCTCTGGTATTTGGGCAAAAACTGTATGGTAAAACTGGCTTCTACCACAGAGTTCCCCCCCCCCAAATACCAGAATGTCATCCAGACATTGCTGGTGTGATGATGTCACATCCTGTGCGATGCCAGCAACGAGGCCTAGGCCTTCTCCTTTCTCCAGGTAAGTTTTCTCTGCTGGCCAGCTGATCAGCAACCAGGGGTAGGGCCTAGCAGCAGGAGACCCCTGCCAACATCAGGGGGTCTGGCAACTCTTGTGACATGGAGTAACTCTATGGTTTTACCATAGAGTTCCTAGTGATTCCTGGAGCTACCCTATTTCACTTCTGGGTTTTCCCCTGAGGGGGGATGTAAATTGCTAGCTTCACAATCTATTATAAAGCTGATGATATTATGCATCTTTTGCAGCTGCAGTGGAATCTGCAAGTCTTCATGGGAGACAAACGACAAACATAAATTATAGAGCTGTATAACAGACTGCAACGGCTCAAGAAAGTTTTAATTTATTACAGGTTATGAGTTTGTGTCGTGTTTTTTTTTAAAAAAGCTCAAATTCATGAGAAATAAATCGATATGAAATGGCAGGACTCCAATTTAGTGTAATGGGATGGGACTCCTACCCTAAGCTCATATTTTAAAGTATTCATTGCATAAATATGTCATATTTGCAAAGACATTCACAATGATCAATGTTTGGTAAGCACAGCGAAAACATTTCTGTAATATACTGGGTAATAAATATATAGTTTTAGGTGGCTGATGAGGAAACTCTATAAATCAGGCTGGTGTCGCTTTGCGATCTGCTCGGAAGTCCACCTGCCACAGATTCTGACCTGCCAGGAACTTGGCAGCCTCCTTGGCAGTTCCCAAAGGCGGCAAAACAAGAGGCTGCTCGAGACCCTGATAGGACCAGTTCACACCTTATGGAGTAGAAGGGTTGGGCCTCAGGTCCCCACCCTGTGTCCTGTGTCAAAGCCATACATGAGTCATGGGTAGGATTGCCAGCCCTAGGCTGGAAAATACATGGAGATTTTGGAGGCGGAGCCTGCGGAGGGCAGGGTTTGGGGAGGGGAGGGACCTCAGTGGGGTAGAATGTCACAGAGTCCACCCGCCAAAGCAGACATTTTCTCCAGGGGAACTGAGCATTGCCAAACGGGGAACAGCTGTAATAGCAACCCTGGCTGTGGGTTCTCATCAACTCAGCCATACGTTCTTTCAGAGCTGTTCTCTCAGGAGCAGTTCTCGAAAGAAGAACAAGAAGAAGAGATTGGATTTATACCCCACCCTTCACAACCCAAAGGTGTCTCAGAGCGGCTTACAAACTCCTTTCCCTTCCCTTCCCCACAACAGACACCCTGTGAGGTAGGTGGGGCTGAGAGAGCTCTTGCAGAAACTGCTCTTTTTCGAGAACAGCTCTTATCAGAACTACGGCTTGCCCAAGGTCATCTAGTCAGGTGCAAGTGGAGGAGTGGGGAATCAAACCCGGTTCTCACAGATTAGATTCCACGCACTTAACCACTAGACCAAACTGGCTCTCTCAGGCCCACCTACCTCACAGGGTTTCTGCTCTGGGAAGGGGAAGGAAAAGGACTCTGAGTGAAGGGCGGGGTATAAATCCAATCTCCTCCTCCTCCTCCTTTCCCCCCTCCTCCTCCTTTCCCCCCTCCTCCTCCTCTTCTCTTCTAATGAAGCAATGCTGCTTCAGAAAGAAGACCAGGTAAAAGGGAACTTTTCAGAAATCTGAATAGCCCTGACTAGACTGATCTCATCAGAGTCTGGAAGCTAAGCAAGGTTAGGAACAAAAGAGAAGCCACGTTGGATCAGGGTTAGTTATGGTCAGGGGTCGTTTCGTAGAAAAAGAGCTAGGGGAACTCATTAGCATAACTCATTAGCATATGCCACACCCCCTGACATCACCGGAAGTGTAACAAAACGAGCCCCATGAAGGGCCCGGCGGTGGACCTGCAAGGCCGGCGGGAGTGCAAGGAAGCCCCGCGAAGGCCCTCCCTGGCTTCGTGATGTGCCCTGCCCCCCCATACCTCACCTGGGGGAACTGTGATCCTCCGCGATCTCCCTGAAATGATCTCTGGTTATGGTCAGTCCTTGGATGGGAGACCACTCAGGAAGATGGAGATTGCTGTGCCGAGGAAGATAATCGCAAACTACCTCTGCTCATCTCTTGCCTTGAAAACTCCTTGAGGAGGCACCATACATCAGCTGCAACTTGATGGCTCTCAACTATTGATTAGCTTGGAGCTCAAATGTCTGAGGACAGATTTGGAAGGATGTTTAATCACTATGTGATATGAAGATCTACAGCTGAAAGGCATGGGGAGTCAGTCGGAATTCGGCAGTCTTGGCCAGCTCAAGAACCACTTTGGATGCTGCCCTTAGAACACATTGATCATGTTAATTGAGATATTTCCACGTGCAGTGCTGGATCCTCATCTGTTGCTCCGGGCACAGCTGCACTATGATTTTTCTGTTAACTCAGGAGAAACCGTGACATTGGTGATTTGGGACAATTACACCCCATGAAATCAAACCAGAACGTTTCTGGTTTTACAGGCATCCTCATATAATTAATTACCAAGGCAAATGTTCAAATTTGGAAATCTTTCTCCCCCCCCCGCCCCCCGGGGCAGGTAAAGGAGGAAATAACAATGATCCATACAATCGCCAGAGAGGAGAGACAGACAGAAGGTACCTTCCAAAGTGTTCCTGAAGCTGAAGTTGGCCATTTTGTCCATGGTCCCAGCCTCGTATTCGGTCAGACTTAAACAGAATTCAACATCTGCCGAAGATGGAAGCCGTGGTGTCCGGTCTTTATCGTGGTTCCCAGGATTTCGGAGTAATGGCCCCTCGTTGGTGCCATTGCAGAGTTCTTGGCGAATGTTGTACTCTTTGGATCGACTGCAAATCACCTGGGGGGGTTGAAAAAGTTCCATTGAGTGTTTGGGTGGGCGGCTGATCTTTGTCATCTGGTCCATGTCTTTATTCAACAAATATCTCCCATGCAGGCCAGTGCATTCAAAGCTGCTCCCCATACACAATACACTACAATAAAATATGCAACACAACCTCCATGATAGAGCCCATCGAAGAAAAGAATAATATGAAGGAACATCCCGCATTCCAGCACAAATGAAACATGGGCTATATAGGCAACCCTACCTCCCATGCTTGAGCTGCGGTGGCTCAAGTAGTTAAGACGCTGAACTGCAGGCTGTGAAAGGTCAGTAGTTCAGCAGTTCGAGACCTGAGTTGCCGCATGATGGAGTGAGCTCCCGTCTCTAGTTCCAGCTCCTGCCAACCTAGCAGTTCGAAAGCAAGAAATTGCAAGTAGATAAATAGGTACCACTTCGATGGGAAGGTAACAGCGTTCCGTGCGCCTTGGTGTTTAGTCATGCCGGCCACATGACCACGGAAACGTCTTTGGACAGCGCTGGCTCTTCGGCTTTGAAACGGAGATGAGCACCGCAACCCTAGAGTCGGATTCGACTGGCTTTCGAGCAAGGGAACCTTTACCTTTACTTTTTACCTCCCATGCAGACCAGGAAGGAAGAAGAGGAGGAGGAGATTGGATTTATACCCCACCCTTCGCTCGGAGTCTCAGAGCAGCTTACAGTCTCCTTCCCTTCCTCTCCTCACAACAGACGCCCTGTAAGATAGGTGGGGCTGTGAGAGTCCACCCTTCAAAGCAGCCATTTTCTCCCAGGGAGCTGATCTCTGTCAGCTGGAGATCAGTTGTCAAAGCAGGAGATCCCCAGGCCCCACCTGGAGGCTGGGAACCCTACCACCCACACAGTTGCCAGCACTGGGCTAGTATCCTTACACCATTGCCAATCAGGGGTCATTTCATAGAAAAAGAGGTGCAGGAGCTTTTGGGCCGGGGGGGCCCTCTGCAACTTACCTGGCTGCTTCTTGCTCTGACTGAGAGCTGCTGGGAGCAGGGGGTGGGGCTTGTTGCATGTGCCCGCCGCCTGGGCTCTTTACTGCCAGAGCTCCGCTCCTGTGCACTCCTGCAGGAAATGACCCCTGCTGCCAGTAATATAGTAGGCAGGATACACATGAAAAACAGACTAAGAATCTATTTTAAATATTGAAAAATGCTGTCTGTAACGTGTATGTTTTATGCACCTCTTGCTACGTGGCCCAATTAAGGCCCCCGTGGAAGCATTCAACAGTTTTAAAAAATCCAGTATAGGGTTGATCGATCCGGGTTGGGAAATACTTTGGGGGGGGGGTGAGGCCTGAGGAGGGAAGGTTTTGGGGAGGAGAGGGACTTCAGTGAGGTATAATGCCATAGAGTTCACCTTCCAGGTGAACTGATCGCTGTCTGTTGGAGATCAGTCATAATGCCTGGAAATCTCCAGCCACCACCTGATTGTTGGCATCCCTAATCCGGTAACGTGAAGCAAAACACAACAGCCCATTAACCATTAAAAGCAACAAGAGGATGGCAGACGATGTTACATCAGAACAAAGTTCGAGTCCGGCGGCACCTTTAAGACCAGCAAGGTTTTATTCAAGGTGTGAGCTTTCATGCGCACGCACACTTTATCAAATACCCACCTGGATGTTGCATCAGTATGTAAAAAAAACAAACCCCATTCTGCTCAAGCCCTTGTATGCAGGGGTATTTTGGAGCAGGAACACACAGGAACGGAGTTCCGGCTGGCTCCCAAGTTGGCCACGCCCAGCAGGAACTCATTAGCATAATAGGCCACACCCAACAGCAGAAACTCATTAGGATTGGCTACATTAGGGGTGTGTGGCCTAACATGCAAAGGAGTTCCTGCTACCAAAAAAAGCCCTGGGTTTTGACAACAAACAAGGTAAACAGAATAGCAAGCAAAAGGTGGGTGTGGCTGGATAACCACACTTCTGGTAACATGGGGGTGCGGCCTAATGTGCTAATGAGCTGTGCTGTCAGGGGTGTGGCCCAATATGCTAATGAGTTCCTGCTGTTGGGTGTGGCCTATTATGCTAATGAGTCCCTGCTGGGCTTTTTCTACAAAAAGAGCCCTGCTTGTATGCATGACTAGCTGTAGCAGAATATAGATGGGATTGTATATCAGAGGGTACACCACTGAAAACAATGCTGTGCAGCACGCAGGCAAGAATACAGACTCCATCCGCACTCTGGTGCCCCTCTGATTAATCTTCATGGCTCCTGACCAAGGAAGTGATGTATATCTTGATGCCAAGACTCAGACCCTCTTAGCTGAATTTGCAGCATCTGACGCCTGGCCACTGCCCCTTTTCTGTTCTTTTTGCCATCACATCGCAGCCAACCTACAGCAACCCTGTAGGGTTTTCAAGGCAAGAGATGAACAGAGGTGATTTACCATTGCCTGCTTCTGCGTAGCAACCCGGGACGTCCCTGGTGGTCTCCCGTCCGTGTGCTAACCAGGGCTGACCCTGCTCAGCTTATGATTTCTGTGGGGTTGCCAGTCTCCAGGTGGCGGCTGAGGATCTCCTGGGATCCCATCTGATCTCCAGGCGACAGAGATCAGTCCACCTGGAGAAAACGGCTACTTGGGAAGGTGGACTGAACTCTATGGCCTTATGCCCCAGTGAAGTCTTGTCCTGCCCCAAACCCCACCCTCCTCAGGACCCCCCCCCTCCATATCTTCAGGTATTTTCCAATCGGGAGGTGGCAACCCTAAATATCGGACAAGATTTGGCTGGCCTGTGCTATTATGGTCAGGGGGTTGACAGCCTACTGAATCTGCTTTAATTGTTTCCCTAGTTTCCTATAAGAATAATAAAATGTAAGTCTTCAAATTCCCTGGGAATGGAAATTTAATGAAGCCACTACCAAGAAGGCTCTGCTCTTTATCACAAATAAGTCAACTGTAAAACTGACTTCCATTTCTTTTTAAAGTTTTACTTCTTTGACACATTTCTCAGTAACTGTGGCTGAAGCAAAGTACCGTAGTAAAAGAAACAGACCTTGACAGATCTTACTCAGGGAAGAAGCAGTTACGGGGCTCAGTTTCTGCTTTTCTAAGTGTTTGTGTAGGCCTATATATACAGGTTAAAGTTTTTTCATAAGATATGAAAGATCCAAGTCATTAAGGGCTTTAAAGGTAACTGGCAGCACTTTGAACGAGGCCTGGAAATTTATCTCCATTCACTGGTGAGGGCAACATTCCTCTCGGCTGCTTTAAAAGGATCTCTTGGGAACGACAAAAAAGAAAGAAAAGAGCAATGAAGGATGTGATCCAGAATAGCTGCTTCTTATAATAAACGTCCTCTTCAAAATTTAAATCAATGCAGTTCCCCGGTGGGCTTCAAATAATCAAACTTTCTCAAGCAATCCTGGCTCGCTCTTCTGCTTTCTTTTTTCAGAGACAGCAAAGGAATGCAGCATCCCCGAGGAAGAATGGTGCCTCAAAACACAACGGCATGGGGTTTAAAAATGCAAAGAGAAAGGATATTGGAATAAACTACTCTGGTTACATTTTCTGAAGACGTCCAAAGAGATCCCTGTAACAACAGCCCCCCCCCCACTTGCCAGCTCTGGAGATTTTGGGGGCGGAGCCTGGGGAGAGTGGGATTTAGGGGGGGAAGGGACCCCAGCAGGGCCTAATGCCATAGAGCTCATCCTCCAATGCAGCCACTTCGTCCAGGGGGACTGATCTCTGCAGTAGGGCTGCCAAGCGGGGGTGGGGGGCAGGTAAACCCCCACTTTGGAGGCCCAATTTCCACCGCCGCAGAATCGGGCCTCGGGAAGAACCCCGCCCCCTGAAGCGCAGCGTGGCTGCATCACAGGATGTGATGCAACCACGTAGATCACATTGGGGGCGTGGCCCCAAGCGTGGGAGGCAAACCTCTATGGTTTTCCCTCCAATGATTGGGGCCACGCCCCCAACATGCTCTGTGTTGTGCGTCACTTCCTGTGATGTTCTAGCGGCGCGCCCATCGGCAGCTCCCGGACCCCGGCGACGCTCCCCCGCCGGTGAGTCCGAGCGACTTGGCAACCCTACTCTGCAGTCTGGAGGTCAATTTAAGAGCGGCAGATCTCCAGGTGCCACTGGAGGCTTGCAATCCAACCCCACCCCCAGGGCATAGGTTGGCACATAGCACTGCCTCTTTGGGGAATCGTACGGTTGTCAACCTCCAGGTGGGTCCTGGATTTCTCTCAGAGTTACAAGGAAGGACTACAAGACCAGTGTTCCCTCTAAGCTGAGTTAGTGTGAGCTAGCTCACAGTTTTTTAGCCTCCGGCTCACACATTTTTGTGTTAGCTCAGGAAGGACGGCTCCAGAGCAAACTAACTTATGCAGCAGCCAACTCGCTCGCTCACAACTTTAATGCCAGTAGCTCACAAAGTCGGACTTTTGCTCACAAGACTCCACAGCTTAGAGGGAACATTGTACAAGACACCGGTTCATGGCAGGTGGACTCTATGGCATTATACCCCTGCTGAGCTCCCTCCCACACCCCAAACCCTGCCTTTCCCAGTAGGGTTGCCAGCCTCCAGGTGGGGCCTGCGGATCTCCCGCTTTTACAACTCATCTCCAGCTGACAGAGATCAGCTCCCCGGGAGAAAATGGCTGCTTTGGAGGGTGGACTCTGTGGCATTGGAGCATGACGAGGCCCCTCCCCTCCCCAAACCCCGCCCCCTCCTGGCTCCACCCCCAAAGTCTCCAGGTATTTTCCAACCCAGACCTGGCGACCCTATTTCCCAGGCTCCATCCCCAAATCTCTAGGATTTTCTCAACGTGGCGTTGGTAGCCCTGCAAGTTTCCATGGGCTGAGCAGAATGGTCTGGCCCATCGCCTCCATCGTGCCCTCACTCCTTCTCCTGTTCCAGGATCAACAGGGACCTGCTGCCATCGGCAAGGCCCAGTTTCAGCTGGCAGAGGGCTGGCAAGCTCTGTTTGCACTACCAATCTGAGCAGTGTGGAGAGGGG